GGCCCACACATGCCGCAAACAAATTCTATCAATCGCGGGCGTCTTTATATTATTAGCTTTGGATGCAGTGGGCATAGCTGTAATACATTGTACAGAGAGTGAGCATAGGCGCTTTGCTAGCACGACCCGCGTAGGAACAGAGTTTTCACGAGAGCTAGTGTTTGCTCTGGAACCAGGATTGGATTTGAACTCGATCTCTGATTGACCTTCCTTCGCTTGTTGCTTATGCAGTAGTACAATGTAGAATATACTCGTGTTATTCCACCTCACATTGTTAAACATTACCATCTATTCAATTACATGACGATTGTAAAAGTATTTTCAGCAGTGGAAGTCTCTTGTTTTCCCCGGATAACCATACCCTATTCACCTTACCATCGATTTCGACGCACACAGGCTGCATGACAGTATTCTCAGTATTCTCTAGACACACATAATAAATGTGCATGGATATACATGTACATGTACATGTAATTGATTACTTCCCTGGCATGAGTTGGCCAAGTTGACAGTTGCCTGTAAACCATTCAGCTTGCCTTGAATGTCCTTCATCTTCCCATGGCTACAATACACTGTTATTGAAACACTGAAAAATAACAGACACTTTGTGCATAACAATCCTTCATCTACTGAAGTACAAGTACATGTACTGAAACTGCCGATTATCTTTCGTACTCCCATAGCACTGTTTCTAACTTTAGGCGTTGTATTGCTCTGCTAACGCCTAATGGATGCCTATCGAGGGAGTCCACCACCCACTACTAGTGGAGTACCCCTCCCCTCCCCAGCAGAACTCTACACCGCAAAGGACTAAAGATCATGTACATATACATGTCCATGAACATTGTTGGAAGGTGATGTACATGTATATGTACATGTACAATAGTCATGACTATTGTACATGTACATATACATGTACAATAGTCATGACGTACATGTACAATGTTATGTACAAGTGACTGTAGCTCAGGTTCATTCGCACCATGCAGAACAAGACTGCACATGTACAGTCCTGCTCCATGAAACCCAGTCTCTACACTTAAGTTTTGCGCCTTGCACCTTTCTCAGCCCAGTGTTTGCAGGTCTGGGGCAGCGCAACGCCCGGCGCTTACTTGAGGGACACCACTGGATTTCATTGAGCAGCACAGCACATGTGCACTGTATACATATACATGTACATGTACATGTATGTAGGACCTGGGGATGGTGTCCATTGTGCTACTGTAGTACATGAAATTCTCACTACTTGTTCTCTGTCCGTTCTCTGTCCTACACCATTGGTATGACTTTGCATTCTATACTAACAGGTCATTGATAAATATTCTTAGGTCAATTCCTGCCCCAGGTACACCTGCTTAATTTTGGGATGGGATTGATCTTGGACTGTTGGAGGCTTGATACGCTCTGGAATTAGTCCACTTTCTCCATTCATCACTCGAAGTTAAGCACCCATTTGCCTGAGGTATACGTCTGAAGGTCAGAAACAATGCCAGAACAAGAAAGGGATGAGTTGGGGTTCTAGTACCAGCAGGACACAAACATACATGTACAGTGGACAGTGTATACCGGTACTGTCCAAACCAATCAATGAAATAGTAAAGCGACCACGGCACATAAACAATCAGAATATGTGATACAATTGATTCACTTTCTGATTGGGAAAAAGGTACAATCATGTACTGTACATGTATATACGGTATATTCAGTCAAACCTGTTAAAGCGACCACCTGGTTCTGAAGAGCACTTGAACCAGGACCAAAGCAAAGTCCTGGATAACAGGACCGCGTTCTGGGCCTTTGACTGGTCGGTTTCGAGAGGTTTCTCTGTACTCAAGACCTGAAAATGCAAGTGCTGCATCATGCTTATACAAAACCATGTACCATGGAAGCTTGTTGTATCCGTTTACTCCTACATTGTATAAAAACAATAACTAAAATCACCTGTCAGTGACTGTAGTAAGTGCATGTACCGGGAAGGCCGGATATGAAGGGATATTATCAGTGTCATGCATTGGATACTGGATATACGTGTACATGTACATGTACATGTATGTTATAATGTATACGTTCTTTGCTGCTGACATGTATAATTGCGTATGTTCTACTTCCAGGTACGAGTACAAAATTAGAACTTCACAAGTAATTGCCACCAAGTTCATTACAAAAGGTTTATCTCGGTAGAAACTTAGATTTGGATCATTTCACGTACACTTTGTGCACTTGTTTTGGTACAAACATACTACAGGTGTTCCTGCCAAGGCATTGGTCATCTGCTCTTACTAGTATATGACGATTGTACAGATGTACATTTCATGTGTACATGTAGCTCCATTTATTCTTGCTCGAACAACACAGCAGATACATGTACATGTACGTGTCCACTTCATGGCATGCGTGTGTATGGCGATGTCATCCCATACACGGGCATTCTCTAATACATACAGTAGTATAATTGAAGTACATGTACAATGTAATTCCTTACAGTCTATTTTTTCGGGGGTAACGGCCTCTTGCACGGGCAAAATAAAGTCAAGTAGACGTGAAAAAATTGAGATACCATGAAAGGCAAAATAGAATTTTATTCAAGTACAATACATTGGGAAACTCCAAGAAAACAGTCTATCCATACATGACATTGTATAATCATGTACAATGTACTTGACGAATGTGGAGAGTGTTCTCTCCTAGTGTTGTTTAGCTCGTATGGCTCACCATCTACATGTATGGCAAGCAAGACGTAAAAAGAGCGTGCCGAAACGAGAATCTAGTGATGGTATTCTGGAACCTCTCACAATCTACATGTACATGTATTATACTTTATAGTTTAGAATAAAACTCATTCATTTAGCATGAAATGTACCTTGGATGCGTGTTTACTCGTCTTTCTTGAGCTCCATACTATTACATTGTACCTATACACGTAGATTGTATGCATTAGTAGTAGTAGTATTGACATACCCGCGGCAAGCCGCTTATGTACAACGGCATGGGAGAGGATAACAAAAAATGAAAATATAATTATTGTTGGGGAAATCCACGCTATTATCGAATATTCAACAATGACGGGTGTGGGGTTATACCAAATTCCCATAATGCATTGCTAGCCTTCAAGGTACATGTTTTAAACTTATCACGCCATTTTTCCCTGCCCGAACATGATTCGAATAATACAATCATGTACATGTACATGTACATGTACATGTACATGTATATACACCAAACGCAAATACCCCATGCCAACGTACAAACATGCCTACTGTCAATCATGTAGTAATACTCAGTTGTAATATAACCAATAGGCAATCGATTGAGATACCTGTAAGAGTTGGTAGGAACGGGGTGCGAGTCAACATCCGGCAAAGATTATTACATCAAATCAAACCTTCCTAGCCTTGCAGGAATTACATGTAGATGAATGACTGGGACATCAGGTTTGACGCACGCCCAGTCGCGACCCCCCGGACTGGTTGGGCCTGAATTTCCAAAAATAATCCCTGCGCTGGTATCTGGGGCTGGGCATACATGTACATCGGCCGTCTATCCGGTCTCGCACTACATGTAGCCATAAGACAAAGCGGTGACACGGTTACCGCCCCAAGCTCATCATGCAGTATACTGCTCTGCAGTCATTCGACTTAGCACAAGGGCGTCGCTGGGAGAGAGAGGCCAGTCCCGGATCCCTAGATGATCTCCACTGCATGGACACGAGGAGTGTGATGATCTTCAAGAGGTGCTCAAAAGAGTTAGGCCTGCTGCATAGACCGCGTGTGTGTGGGGGGGGGGGGGGGGGGGGGAGGTGTAACGAGTTACGTACGGCAAATAAGAACTGCCTCTCAAATCAAGTGGAGTGTGGGGAGAGCATTCCTGAATACTTCGAAGTACATGAAATACATGTACATGTACATAAAATTGGGTCGGGTCTTTTATTAGCACGGACGAAACTGGTTCATCCCGCCGGAAAGAACTTGACGAATCTTGAGCCAGTCAATTGCATTTGATAGTCAACTTATTTGCTCTAGAAGATTAGACTTACAATTATTCTTAGTAATGCAGCATGATGCAGTGTCACACTCAGGAAGTAGTCACATGCTTGGTAGGAAACTTGCTGGCGACCGCGTGCCTTTCCAATTTTTGCAGTTTTGTGGCATCATCATTGGGCAATACACAGTCTAGTAATGTATTGATTTCCCGGCGCCAATACATGTTATACCAGTATTGTACTGATGGTATTTCCTTTGCATCAGAATGAGTTGTCTTGATTTGATTAGATCAGGCGATTGAATCTTGTTCTGGTTCTCCCTTTTCTGGACTGGTGATTTATTATCAGTGTCGATACACTGATACTACTATTAAATTTTAGTGATGGTAAAAACGGCTACAAAGTATGTAGACAGAATGACAATGAATACAGCCGTCAGTACTGGTGAGTGGTGTGGTGATTTTTTACTGTTCAACTCCTCACTCACGTGCACATTACGTTCCTGTCATTAGATCACCAAACCCAAGTGCTACTCACAAACGCACAATGCCTGTACACTGTCGACAGGCGCTACACGTACACGCCGCTAGCTAGCTAGGCGTGTGTTTGCTTCCGTGCATACTATACAATGAGTACATGTGTCGGACTACGCACGGACTGTTGCAGTGCCAAGTCCGTTGGGGGGGGACACAATCATTGGGCTATGGACCGTATGCAGCGTGAAGTGTATAAGGTGAGTAGTGCGTACTCATCTCTTGTAACGATATAGAGTGGCTTGGCTGGTTTGTTCCACATCAGGGTAATAGGGTGATTCATTGCTCTGCAAGTCAAAAGACGAATACATACGAACTCGACTAACCTATTCTGTGGATTTGGGTCCAGTTTTACTCGGCCCGGGGCAGTATTTTCAGTTGCACGTGGGAGCCAAAGATCCGCTTTGGCTGTGCTGCCATTTTTGACCCAAGTACTTACCCTCAGGATAACTGTTACTTCGGCCGTTAGTTGAATAATGCAACTTGCACATACGTGAATCTGATCATGTATCATTAGTTTGGCCCAGCCTGCTGTGTCGAATACTTCCGCACTGAAGTTCTATAAAAGCCTGAACTCGCAGCTAAGGAGAGTCAGAATTGGTTTTCCACTTCCACTTTTCTACAATCTGAGGAAGTATTACAATCTCTGCTGACCTATTTCAGTTCTACTTGCAAGGTCCTCACTCTCTGGGAATTGCGCCACCACGTTTATACATCATTCGATCCTAGCCCATTATTGCTGCACTTCGTTCAACCAAAGGTTTAACTGCAATAGCCATGGTATCTAAGATGTCTTCCGGATTCCAATCCTTCTCACCCGTTCTGCAGGTAAAGGGGATATTTATTTACAAAGAATACCCAAAACTAGAAGTACTTTAGGGAGAAGGATACCTGAAGTAAATGTACAATGTATATTTTTCACCTATTAAATTTTGTGCCCCAGACTACTTTAATATTATCGTCAGGGAAAAATGAAATATACAAATGTATGTAAGTTTTAGACTCGGGTGGAGAGCCTTGGATTAATTTATGTAAATGTATAAGAATGTATGTAACTTTGCAATACATTAATGATTAAAATGTTTTCACATGCCATAATAGTGACGTACTACACTGCTTGTGTTCTTCTGATCAGGTGATGGTGTCACTGATAGCACTAACAATACTAAGTGCAGTGCCATTCTCCGCAGCAAGATCGCTCTCTCCCAGTCAGGAAAATGCCAACAAGATCAAGGCATGTACACCTCGGTCTGACAATGTGAACTACACCAGCTTACTAAACACTTACTTTGAGCAGCTGAGCAAACCAAGAAGTGGCCGTCCAGTACCTGCCCCCTGGGACGCTATGCAGAATCTACAGATGTTCACTCCACTGCCATTGCAGACACTGGCCTGTGGTGATATGCAGTCTGAGGCTTGCAGAGTCTCCTCCTCGTCCGGCAGTGCCCAGCGTCACAATAGTCGTACTGCCATGTGGCTGAATGTCTATCCTGGCCCACAGATGGAAGTGAATGTGGGCAGTGATATGATCGCTGCCGCAGGGGAAGAAGAGGACGGCTCCAAGGAGAATAATTGCGACAAGGTTCACAACAACCCACACACAGTTTGCAGCACTGACTTCAACCGTTTCCCACCCATTCTCTGTGAAGCCACATGCAAATCCCCGTGCGGCTGCTGCAAGAGGCGTTCATCAGAGCTGACAAACGCCCATGTTTTGGTTATCGACAGATGCGAAGGAGCGAATGCTGTGTGGAGGCTGAAGGAAGTTGGAGGTCTACTACCAATTTCTCCAAACAGCTGTCAATGTCAATCATAGAGACAAATAGTTATTATGGATAGTTTCCCTGCAGCGATATTTTGCAAGTATATTTTATTCTGAATTTCTCTATTTATTGGCAACAGATTTATCTGGTCCTCTACTGTCGACATCGTTCCAATCTCCCAGCAATGGGGAAAATTCGGAAGTGGAGATTGGAACGTTCACTATTTATTAAGTTGGTTGTTCCAACGAGTTCTAAGTTCTCTATTTATTATTACTATGATCATTATTCTATTTTTCATCGGTTTGAGGGAATGAAGAAGGAACTGTGAATGCTATAACGTCTCCAGCGTTGCTTCGTTTAGACGTTTACACACAATGCTTACAATATCACAATCATCATGAAAAAAGTACTTCTGGAATTCAACGCCATATACTGTCATGCACATAATCATACAGTATTATTTTATCTGAGCATGGGAGGTTTCCTATCTGCCGGTACATGCACGTGCAGCTGTTTATCTGAATTTTCGCTGGATTTCTATTAAATTTATCCCCTAGAACAAGATTGCATTCAATATAATACTCTTGACTCCAAGTAAAGCATTTGATTACACTTCTTCCAAATCTGTCTTAAATTCTAAATGCTCCCTAGAGTCACTAGCCTATCGTCGTCAAATCATCAGTCTCACTACTTTTCACAGATATGTTTTCCATCATCGTGATTACCTTGCTGATTTCCATTTCAAGATTACGAATAGTGAGCGACGACCAAAAAAAATCATTCTTCCCAAATTTAAATCATTGTCTAAGTCTCTCTTCATGTTCCGAACTGCTATTCTATGGAACTGTTTACCCCCCAGTCTAACATCGGAAGCCTCGCTCTATAAGTTCAAAGCTGCCCTCAGGAAATTTACAGCTGACTATGCTTATGCAATCAACGGAATTCCGCCACCTTGCAGTTGATTTTCCCCATTTCTCTCCTCATCAATCCCTACTTCTCTTTGTACATACATCTACATCTACTGTTCTTTCAATCAAATGAACCCCTCGATAGGCACATTGCCTTTGGGTCATGTCATAATAATAATAATAATAATAATAAGTTCAAAGTACGTGTAAATTGTATACAAGGGGCTATATTTCCAGCTCCTGGATGATGTGCAGTTTGAACCTGTACACTACCTGTGCTGAAACTGCCATCACACACTGCAGTAATAAGCATCAACATGACTGTATGTTGAATTCACTTATTAAAGAGATCAATCAATTACACCAAGACTGGTTGGCTTTCACTCCCTCGCATACAGCGCAGCTGCACGCTGGAACACCCTCTCCGCTGGATGCCGTCTCGCCGACTCCCCCCCCCCCTGCTATCTTTGTCACACTTGCCAAGCAACACCTACATGTAGGGTTCCCTGTGAGAAGGCAATAGACATCCTTAGCAAAAGTACGATAACGCTAACTTTTACGGTACTCACTCCCAGCCGTGACAAAAGACGTTATCGGATAACAGAAAAACGTTACAGAGCTCAAAATAACGGGCCGACGTTCGTTATGGAAATTCTGCAAAAAATGCAAAAACTCGCATTGTTTTGTAACTGGCGGGAGATAAAAAGCACGTCGTGCAGATCGAGATGAGATCGAGAGTCGAGATTGCTTCCTCTTGTGAAATTTAGCTTTTTTGGCGAGTTTTGCCTTTCAGTTGACAATTTCTGCGTCCTCTGCTTCGTGCCTTTCTCCCTCTATCCCATCTGGGAAACAAAGGACCAGTTCCACGGCACTCCTGAGGAAGAAATTCATCGGCCTCTCCCAGACGTGCTGGAGCTGGAGAACCCTTACAGTCTTCGGTGCTGCGTTTAGGAAAGGGTTTCCAAGGACCTGGGAACAGCGAAAATGAGTTTTTGCCGTGCTTTTGCTATTCCAGAGTAAAAGACCTCGCCAAGGTATTCTTTCGGAACGACAGCAAACTAATCCCTGGTTCAAAATTTTGAATTTCCCGCACCTGTTTCCACGAAAATTCATATCGCCATGGTTGTCACGACTACTTCGTCTCAACTATAACGTACTTTGTGCTAAGGCTGTACTCACACTACTTGAAAAACCGCATACAAGTGACTTACGTGTGAATGTTGCCACGGTGACGGTTGCGAAAATGAAAAAAGCCCTTGAAAGCCGCTTGAAAGGTTTCAGCGGAAACGGAACCCTCTTCTACGAGGTTTTTTGCTTTCAAGCCGTTTGGAAAGCTGTGTACGTGTGAGGTCAGGAGGCCGGAGTACTATTGTACGTTGAAAGGCTCCAGAATATTTTTCATGCTTTGTTTCCTCGTGGTCGTACTGCTCCTGTACATATACTTGTAGTTTCCTTTTTTTGCCTGTCATTTCTGAATTCTGTGGTGTTTTTTCCGAGTATTTTCCGTCTTCTTTCTTCCAGTAGCTTCCCGTTGTTTTGATTGCTGTTTCTGCCGCATTTCTTTTGTACCATTGCTTTTGTACCGACATCATGCCTCTCGTAGTGTTTTCTGACGACTTGGAGAAGAAGCTCATCGAGCTGTGGAGAGAAACCTCTTCATCCGTCGATGTCGACGATGTGCTACTTCTTCGCGAGGCATGGCGAATGAACTCCACGATCCAAGCAAGATATAACTGTTTCTATTTTTCTCATGAACTGAAAATTTCAAATAAGTTCATCGAGCGCAAAAAAATTGAAGGAACGCAGTCTCGGGATTTGCAAAACTACCACATGACAATCATGTTTCTCCATGGTAATTTGCTGACAAAAATGTTTCAAGTGGTCACTGGAGTGCAGTGTGCTTGGAAAGGCTTTTTCAAGTACTTTTGTCTAGTTTTGAACGCGACATTCGCGTCAAACTTTCAAGTAGTGTGAGTACAGCCTAAGGGAAAAGTCAGCTTGAACGATCCGAAGTACGGAAAGGTTTGCGTTTACGTTAGCGTTTTTTTAGCTAAGGATATCTAATAGGCTGTTTGGATTACCCTAGTAAAATGTTTAATGAAAATGTACTGGTGCTACCACTGGTGCACGTGTGGGGGCTGTGTACACTTGATAATAATTACTGAGGTAACGAATAATCGATTATTCAAATTTCGTCGATCTCTTGGACCTCAATGAATAATCGATTGGATAAAATCTAGGTCGAAGGTTCGAAAATTCGAATGTTTGCAGGCGGGCGAAGTCCGTGGGCTGCATACCGCCCGGGCGACTCTAGATCTCTCGACTTGAATGCATAAACTTTGGTACAGTGTTACAGAAAACGACTAGACTACGCGCGGCAGACCATTGTAGGCTCTACTCTGACTCGAGTCTGAGCGCTTGTATTGTGTGTTTGCTACATGTACACTTTCTGTGGAATAGTAGAATAATCAATCGTTCGCTTGAGTTGTATTCGCTAGGTTATTTGTTCGTAAAATTCATGGCTCGTTACATACATCACTACTAATCACTAATATTAATAATACTTGCTGATACCGTCTGTATATTGCCCCGTTTTCAACGTGATTCGCGCATGCAACTAGCAGTGATTGAGCTCTTGTTTCTAGCCATTGTGACATTTAATCATCGCACATGGGTATAGTCACAGCACTCTCTAAAAGATGCACATGTATAGACTAGTGGGTTTCACACCAATGTTCATATAATATATGTGCAATTGTCAATTTGGTCTTATATACATGTAAAACAGAGAGGTTCCAGGCTGTCCAAGAGAGTGCTCAATACCGAGTGGCAGAGCTGGTTCAAAACAATGAGAGGACAGAGAAAATGTTTTAACTCCGAGTTTCACGCACTAAGCGATCATCAGAAAACAGTAATGTTTTGTTTTATACATGTACATGTGCAAAGATTACAAAGCAATGAAGCAAACAAATGTCTTTCCGCTGTTACTCGGAGTTTCGTGTGAAAACACTCATCAGACATATGGGACGGCCTGTGTTCAACTTCAGCCTCATTATAATAATGTGCATATTGCGTGAATAAAACTTCACTCATAACGTGAACTAGACTTTATGACGTCGCTCAAGTGCTTCTCGAAGGCCAATCAATGTTAGTACGAGTAAGCATACAGGGGTTACATGTACACCAATGCCATTTAGGACGAGTCTACATGTCATTGTATATTTCCTGCATGGACTGAATACACATGTAAGATTGACAGTAGATTTCTAACATCACGTGCATACATTGCTTGGCTTTTATAGATACCATAACTGCGCTCTCCAGTCGATCTCAACACGTTACGACCGCATGCCACCAGCAAAGCAACCCATCCGCTGGTACCGAATTCCTTCGTGCAGCTGTTTCGAGTTATACGAGAGAGCTTGGAAGCTCAGGGCCCTACGCTATGCTTTTTTGCCTTGATGACCTAGATAAAAAAAGCATAGGGATGTTATAAATTCTTATAAATTTCTATTTTTGGTTTTTAGACATAACCTGGGATTCGAACCCGCACTATCGCCCTGCATGCATCCCCGGATACACTTCGCACACATACTAAGTCTTCCAAGTTGCTTCACGTTATGATCTTGCATTTGAAAGCCCTATTTGAATATGCATTGTGGCCAGCCCTCTTTGATCGTACGGTACGGTACGGGACAGGTACGGAACAGGTACGGGACAGGTACGGTCGAGGGTAATACGACACCGTCTACCGCCTTGATGACGGCAAAAAAAGAATAGGGATGTTATACATTTTTCAATTCTCCTATTTTTTTCAGGCATTACCTGGGATTTCAACCCTCACTATTGCCCGACATGCATTCCCCCATACACTTCGCATTCATACTCATTCTTCCAAGTTGCTTCACGTTATGATCTTGCGTTTGAAAGCCCTATTTGAATATTGCGGCCAGCTGTATGTGGCCAGCTGTGTTTGATGGTACGGTACGGTACGGGACAGATACGAGATAGCGCCAGGCGTGACACAAACAAACAAACAAACACCAAATTAAAGCTGTGTGGACCCTGGCTAGCGCCAGACGTTACTGAAGTAACGTCTTCTGCATAGCTACGGGAATAAATATCGTGATTTTCACTATCTTAGCCATTCTACAATACATGTATCTACCTTTGCTGACGACAGCTTTATACTCGAAACAGCTGTATGAAGGAATTCAGTACCAACGGATGTGTCCGCGGCTTTGCTGGTGGTGTGCTGTGGCAACGTGTCGAGGTCGGCTGGAGAGTGCAGCTATGGTGTG